TCAAACTGTGGAAAGAACACACGGCGCCGGAGCTACGGGAGCGTCGTGACGGTGGACGTGCCCTCAATCGCAGTCGTGACGCATCGACTCCGCTGGCCAGCAGAGCGTCCTGCATCGACAGCTGTATTCTCTGTCGCTCCTCGTCGACCTTCACCACGCGGACTTGTATGGCCTGGCCAATCTCGAGGACCTGCGGCGGGCAAGCGAAATCAAATAGCATCGGATACACGCTTCGACAAGCTGCTCAGATAGGGGGCCACATGCGAACCCTACCCCCACCCTCCCCCTCAAAAATCGTAGGGGGTAGGGGTAGGGTTCGCAGGTGGACCCCTATCAGACACATGACCAAGCCCGAGTTGGACTGTAACTGTTTGCCAAGGCAAACTGGCTGCATGTAAACCCGGCGGTCAAAAAACCGGACACCGTCGCAGGCGTGCACCACCCTCCTCGGACGACCGAAAGAGCACAGGTGTGCAAACGTCCCGGGCAATCGCCTCCTCCTGGCAGACCATGGATCTGGACATTGCATTATCTCGGGCGTGTCCCCCTACAGGCGGATTTTCGACGAAAAATCGAAAATACCACAAAAATGCCAAAAGAAGGTCAAAAAATAATCCAAAAATAGTCCCCATACTACTTTTTGATGTTGTTTTTGATATTTTGGGGGTATTGGTTATTTTTCGTCGAAGATCCCCCTGTCGGGGGACGGGCCCGACTTAAACTTTGCACTGAGCCCACACACGAGGCGCCATGAAAATATCGTGAATGCACTTCGCGACAGAAACGCCAGCAGCTGGTCCTCATGACCTCTGGATTCCCTCGTTTCCTCCCTCCTTCCTCCATCCATCCCTCCACCTGCGATTGTCGAAAACCCACGGCTGGACCTTTCCAGGAATGAACTGGTCAAGTTCTGATAAGAGCAATCCAACTGTGGCCGCGAGGGCACCCAGGAACGCCCCCAAAGTTGCAGGACCTGAATACTCGAACCTCGAAGACGTTGGTCGACCTTCCCGTCTCTCTACCTACCCCCTCCCGCACATACGCGAACTTCGAGGGTATCCAGCCGTGGCGACGAGAAGCTTCCGAGAGGCCCGAAGAAGACGAATATCGCCCAACACCTCGGCCATCGAGCTTCGAAGCGATACATCCCCCCCTCCCCAGGTCGAGGGCAGCAACTACACGCAGACTCCGACTTGGGCAGAAGGAGGAGGAGGAGGAGGAGGAGGAGGAGGAAGAAAAGGATACTGGCAAGACCAGAGACAGGACAGGACAGGAGCGCGATGAGTCCGCTGGTCGGCCGGCGGGCCCCCTAGGAGCAGCGCGGGTGGGCCGGACCCCGGTTATTGCATGTGGTGGAGGAAGGCGTCTTCCCAGCTGTCCCATAATTTCTGGTCGCAAGCATAATATAACCAATGTTCGCTGATACTCCCAGTGGTAGTTTGTATAAACTGTGATCTGTCGTCGCACCACCGCTTGCGTTGTCGTCGATGTGTGCGCTGTGCTATTCGATTGTCGTGGACTTCCGGTCCCCACGCTGCCGCAAGCCTTGTCCATCGAAGGTTCGAGTGTGTTGCCACTCGCTTTGCCCACCGCCATTTTCGTCTGTAGTATACTGCTGTCCGCTCGTCCACGTGAAAGCGGGCAGCGAGATCTGTAGCCGCATGTGTGGCTCTGCGAATGAACTCCCCCCATGGCTCGAGTCCTATATCGTCTTCAACGTCGTCGAACTCGAATTCCCTTCCTGCGTCGATCGTGCTGTCGCTGGTGTCATCGTCGTTGCGGGAAGGGTTGGACTGGGCGTCGTCGTCGGCTGCTGCGTTTTGTTGGGTGTTCCCCCGTCGCCTCGGAGTGTTCACAATGAGTCGTAGCATACGTCGTTGTGCACGTCGTAATGTCAAGAGCAGGTCTTTGATAAGAGTCCACGAAATGCAGCCGTACATAACTGTCGGTGTTACGGCGCCGCTGAATAGCAGGAGCCTGCTGTGGAGCGGGTACCGTTTGCTCGTTAGTTCGTCGCGCAATTTGTTGAATTTGCGCCATGCCATTGCGATTCTGTTGGCGAGCTCGGTGTGGTGGTGGTCGTGGAATGTAAGCTTCCGGCCGAGGTACTTCGTGCTCTGTTCGTAGCTGAGGATTTCGACTCTGTCGCCGTCGATGTCAACGTGAGTAATCGTTCGCCCCTGTCGCTGGCTTATGTTCGTGAGGATTTTCGTCTTGTCTGGGTGCATCTCGAGCCCACATGTTGACGCTGTTTGTTTGAGATCATGAAGAATACATTTCAGTTGTCTCAGGTTGGGTGCGAGTAGTACGACGTCGTCTGCAAACACAAATCGGGGGCGCACAAGCATGGATTAGCATGGGGTCGCCAAATCCATGGATCGGGGGAGGTGCCCTGCCCAAAATGCGGCCGGTGCCGCCTCGCTCGGTGGCGGACATCCGCGATTTCTCCCATGGAATCGGGGCCCGTCGCTAATCCACGCCCCCTTGATCCATGTCTGCGATCGCCTGACATGGCACAAACATGAACATGTTACGGGCTGGGCGGATGACTCGGAATGGCCGCGCCGGACCTCCCCCCCTGGAGCGCAGAGCGCGCCAGGGGCGGCGCCCGGGGCGCCGCAGGGGGGTCACACGATGCCAATCCAAGAAGTCCGCGCTTTTTCTTTATGTTTTCCAGCCATTTTCTCTACAACTGATTATCTCAACTGTCCTGTGACTCTGTCGGTCTCTTTAAACCTGGCAGCTGGTGCTTCACCTTTCTGAAGCCTGCTCGAGGCCCGCCGTCCGTGATCTGTAGGGCGGCCTAGGCAGGGATGCTGCAGGTTCCTCGTTCCTTTCTGCGCGTAGAACCCGCAGCGGATACAAATCATGGTTCCGAAAGTCTGGTAAACTCCGATCGCATGCGCGCCGCGACACTCTCTGCCATTGAAAACTTGAGGTCCAGAGGAGGAGAGGAGGACATGATTCCCTACCTAGGCTCTGCCTAGAGGGTTCTTACTCTGTTAGCTTAAAGGGGCGGGGCAGTGTAAATCGCCCAGTGCGGTTCCCCCAGGATCCGCCCCGCGGTTCCCCCAGTTACGTCCCCTTAGCTTAGCGTTGCTTATCTCATGTTAGCTTAGCATATTTCATCTTAGCTTAGCTTAGCTTCATCTTAGCTCAGGTGTATCTTAGCTTAACTTACCTCTTAGCTTCGCTGAGCTGTAGCATAGCTGGGCACAGCATAACATAGCATAGCGTAGCGTAGCATAGCGCAGCAAAGCATATCATAGCATAGCCCAGCATAGCGGGGCTATGCTGTGCTATACATGTGTAGCACATAGCATCGCATAGCATGACATAGCATAGCATAGCATCATATAGCATGGCTATGCTGTGCTACGATCGTAGCATAGCATAGCATGGCATAGCCTACCATAGCATAGCAACTAATGCTGCTTTCCTAGGGGCTCCAACTTCTAGGTAGGGTCGCACTGGGGTAATTCATCAGTCCTCTCGTGCACGGAGTGTCGAGGAATCGTTCGAGCTCTCTTCTGGGCGCAAATCCTCCACACTTCAAGTCCGCGCGGAGCTCCAGAAATTGTCGTTCATGCGTGTTTGTCCCTCGAATGGAAGGAGTCCTGACAGAACGGGTTCCAGCCTGTGCAGTTTCCCCCTGGACCATCTCGCCATCTGGAGTCGTCGTCCGACGGGCCCCGGGCCTGGGAAGCGCCCACGGAGGCCGAGAAAGGACGGAAAAACCTCAGGAACCCTGTCACTCAAGACGTAAGTCGGGCGTGTCCCCCTACAGGGGGATTTCGGGCGGAACAATGCAAATTATCTTGGCGAAGGACCCAACCATATGAAGTTGTGGGTACCGCCATTGTGAATATCTTCTTCGGTGAAGCTCCCTATGGAGCCACGAAGCGCTGCGCTGGGCGGGGGGGGAACGCATGCGGGCGATAGCTCTGGGGCCGTCGGTGAAGCTCCCGATGAGGCCACGAAACGCTGCACTGGGCGGGTGAAAATACCAAATTAGGCGTGTGGGACGCACGCGGGCGGTCCCATTGGGTGCTTCGGTGGAGCTCCCCAATGGGGCCGCGAAGCGTTGTAAAGGCTGGGTGAAAGTGCAGAATTGGGTGTGGGGGACGCATGCGGGCGGCCCCACTCGGGGTTTCGGTGGGGCTCCCTCTGGTGCCGCGAAGCGCCGTACTGGGTCGGTGAAAATGCAAAATTGAGCGGGGGGGACGCATGCGGTCCCACTGGGGGCTTCGGTGGTGCTCCCTGTGGGGCCACGGAGAGCCGTACTGGGTCGGTGAAAATGCCAAATTGGGCGTGGGGGGCGCATGCGGGCGGTCCCACTGGGGGCTCCGGTGGAGCTCCGGGTGGGGGACGCATGCAGGCGGTCCCACTGGGGGCTCCGGTGGAGCTCCCTGTGGTGCCACAAAGCGCTGTACTGGGCGGGTGAAAATGCAAAATTGGGCATGGAGGACGCACGAGGGCGGTCCAATTGGGGGCTTCGGTGGAGCTCCCGATGGGGCCACGGAGCGCTGTACTGGGTGGGTGACAGTGCCAAATTGGGCATGGAGGACGCACGCGGGCGGTCCCACTGGGGGCTTCGGTGGAGCTCCCGATGGGGCCACGGAGCGCTGCACTGGGTGGGTGACAATGCCAAATCGGGTGCGAGGGACGCACGCGGGCGGTCCCACTGGGGGCTTCGGTGGAGCTCCCGATGGGGCCACGAAGCGCTGTACTGGGTGGGTGAAAATGCCAAATTGGATGTGGGGGACGCATGTGGCCCGTAACACTGGGGGGTTCGGTAGAGCTCCCTATGGGATCACGAAGCGCAAATTGGGTGTGGGGGACGCACGCGGGCGGTCCCATTGGGGGGTTCGGTGGAGCTCCCTTTGGGGCCACGAAGCGCTGCGTTGGGTCGGTGTCAGTGTCAAGTTGGGTGCGGTGGGCGCACGCGGGAGGGCCCACCGGGGGCTTCGGTGGGGTTCCCTATGGGGCCACGAAGCGCTGTACTGCTATGGGGTATGCCACATTGGGCGAGGGGGACGCATGCGGGCGGTCCCACTGGGGGCTGCGGTGGAGCTCCGTATGGGGCCACAAAACGCTATACTGGGTGGGTGAAAATGCCAAATTGAGCGTGGGGACGCATGCGGGCGGTCCCACTGGGGGCTTTCGGTGGGGCTCCCTAGTGGGCCACGGAACGCTGTACTGGGTGGGTGAAACGCAGGGAGGAAGGAGGAGGGGAAGAACGGAGGGGGAGGAGGAGGAGAGGAGGAACGCGGGGACCGTCTTTTCAAAACGAGGACCCAACACCACAGGATGGTAGGGAAATGTTCATAAAATATTCCCGAAATGCTCAAAATTATCCTGGCGAGGAACCCAACCATATGAAGTTGTGGGTACCGCAATTGTGAAGATCTTCTTCGGTGAAACTCCCTATGGGGCCACGGAGCGCTGCGCTGGGCGGGGGGGCAACGCATGCGGGCGGTGGCACCAGGGCCGTCGGTGAAGCTCCCGATGGGGCCACGAAATGCTGCACTGGGTAGGTGAAAATGCAAAATTCGATGTGGGGGACGCATGTGGGCGGTCCCACCTGGGGGCTTCGGTGGAGCTCCCTGTGGGGTCGCGAAACGCTATACTGGGTTGGTGAGAATGCCAAATTGGGTGTGTGGGGGGCGCATGTGGGCGGCCCCACTGGAGGTTTCGGTGGAGCTCCCCATGGGGCCACGAAGCGCTGTACTTGGCCGGTGAAAATGCCAAATCGGGTGCGGGGGACGCACGCGGACGGTCCCATTGGGGGCTTCTGTGGAGCTCCCTATGGGGCCACGGAGCGCTGTACTGGGTGGGTGGCAATGCCAAATCGGGTGTGGGGAGCGCGCGCGGGCGGTCCCACTGCGGGCTTCGGTGGAGCTCCCGATGGGGCCACGAAACGGTGTACTGGGTGGGTGACAATCCCAAGTTGGGTGTGGGGGGCGCATGCGGGCGGTCCCACTGGGGGCTTCGGTTGGGTTCCTTATTGGGTCACGAACGCCTGTACTGGGTGGGCGAAAATGAACAATTCGATGTGGGGGGCGCATGTGGGCGGTCCCACCTGGGGGCTTCGGTGGAGCTCCCTTTGGCGCCACGAAACGCTATACTGGGTTGGTGAGAATGCCACATTGGGCGTGGGGGACGCATGCGGGCGGTCCCACTGGGGGCTTCGGTGGAGCTCCCTATGGGGCCACGAAACGCTTTACTGGGTGAGTGAAAATGCCAAACTGGGTGTGGGGGGGGCCGCATGCGGGCGGTCCCACTGGGGGCTTCGGTGGAGCGCCCTATGGGGCCACGAAGCGCTCTATTAAGGAATGGAAATGCCAAATTGGGTGTGGGGGACGCATGCGGGCGGTCCCACTGGGAGCTCTGGTGGGGCTCCCTACTGGGCCACGAAACGCTGTAATGGGTGGGTGAAAATGCCAAATCGGGTGTGGGGGGCGCATGCTGGCGGTACCACTGGGGGCTTCGGTGGGGCTCCCCTTGGGGTCACGAAGCGCTGTACTGGGTGGGTGAAAATCCAATTTCGGCGTGGGGGACGCATGCGGGCGGTCCCGCTGGGGTCTTTGGTGGAGCTCCCTGTGGGGCCACGTAGCGCTGTACTGGGTGGGCAAAAATGCCAAACTGGGTGTGGGGGGGGACGCATGCGGGCGGTCCCACTGGGGGCTTCGGTTGAGCTCCCGATGGGGCCACGAACCGATGTACTGGGTGGGTGGAAATGCCAAACTGGGTGTGGTGGACGCATGAGGGCGGTCCCACTGGGGGCTTCGGAGGAGCTTCCTATGGGGCCACGCAGCGCTGTACTGGGTGGGTGGAAATGCCAAACTGGGTGTGGGGGGGGGGCGCATGCGGGCTGTGCCACTGGAGGTTTCGGTGGAGCTCCCTATGGGGCCACGAAAGGCTGCGCTGGGTGAAGCGCATGGCAGAAGGAGGAGGGAGGGGAGGAGGGGGAGGAGGAGAAGAGGAAAGGAACGCGGGGACCGTCTCTTCAAAACGAGGGCCCAACACCACAGGATGGTTGGGAAATAATAGAAACATCGTCCCAGACTACCTGTTGACCATTTTTGAATTTCTCCCCCGTAGAATGACAGGCCCGCCTTCACTCAAGACCCCCTCCTCCCCGCCTCTCCCAGGGGACCTGTCCAGGGGTGCGTGCTGACCAGCAGGCTCGGCGGGAGAGTCTGGCCGTGGCCACGAGGACGCCCCAGCAGGCCCCCAAACAGCAGCACAGAATGCACCGAAACTCTGGACCAAATCGTAGGTCGGACATGTCCCCCTACAGTCGGATCTTGTGCGAAATATTTAAAAATACTCACAAAATACCCCCAAATAATCAAAGCATGCTGAAACAAATCGTCCCCAGACTATTTCTCGAGTATTATTGAACATTCCTCCTGTAGAGGGACAGGCCCGACGTAAACCTCATCCCCGGATCTCAGCTTCTAGGGAAAATCCTGAAGGCATCGCGCGGCGCGCGATAGCTGTACTAGCCAGCCCGCACGTCCACTCCCGAAGCCATGGGTCGACGTTCGCGCGGCGATGCTCCGGTACAAATCCGACGTAACACAATAGCACCCCACCGACCTGATCCGACCTGAGCCCCATGGAACTCCGGCGCAGATCCGAGGCAAATCGGGCCTCAAGTTGCCGCGCGAGGCCTCCAGGATTCTCTTCAGACCTCGGCCCCGTTGGGCCAGGGCGGGTGGTAAAGGGGGGGGGACCTACTTGGGGGGGGAAGCGAAAGGCCCTAGAGAAGGGGCCCCTTTGGGAGCCAGGAGGGGCCCCAGAGGGCCCCTTTCGGGCCCCTGTCTCTTGCCATCGCTCGGACGTCCGGTCCCCGTGCATGTTTCGGATTCCTGCGCGCTTCTTCGTGCTGCCCGAGGATCCAGAGAATACTCCTCGGCGACCCCCGCCGAGAAACAGTGCACACGTCCGAGCGATGCCAAGGCCTTCGCCCTGCATTCAGGCCACCCCCCAGGACCGCCCGGCCTGATTGTGAAGTCGGGCATGTCCTTCTTCAGGGGGAATATTCAAAGATGCTCCAGAAATAGTCTGAGGACGCTTTTGTCGACTAAATGTGGGCTATGTTTGAGCATCTGTTTAGGCACGTCTCCTCCTTCGTCCCACACCCGCGTGCAGGAGGACGTGCCCGACCCAACCCGAGCGAGCGGCGCCGCCCCTCGCCTCCTGAGGGTCGTCCGGCATGTTGCCGTTGCCCATCTGCGACTTGTGCAGCAGGCCCTCTCCGCGCTCTCTGCTCCGACGAAGGCATCTAATACACCACCACCGTGCCAGGCCAGGGCCATCCTGGGCCCCGGGACGGTGTATCCTCCTGGCTTCGGCCAGGAGGGCGTACACACCATGCCAGCGCCAGGGTGGCCCTGGCCTGGCACGGTGGTGGTGTCTTAGATGCCTTCTGCGCATTTGCAGGGCAGCGGCGCGGGGCGCCGCCGAGAGCGCACGGGGGGGGGGCCGGCGCCCGGCGCCGCGGCGCGCCGCCCGCGTCGAGCGCGCACGGCCCGCCCCCCTCGGCCCCCCCACGCCTGCCAGGCCCCTGCAGCGCCTGCCGCGCCTGCCGCTTCCCGCTCGCGCCGCTCGCATCCCGTCGGCCCCCCGCGCCTGCCAGGCCCTCCCACGCCTGCCACGCTTGCCGCGGAGGGGGGGGAGGGGGGGAGGGGGCAGCGGGGGTGGGGAAGGGAGAGGGGCGCGAGGAGTGGGGCGGCGGAGGGAGCGGGAGGGTCGCGAGAGAGGTAGGGGGGGGAGGGGGGGGGGAGAAGGAGGAGGAGGAGGAGGAGGAGGAGGAGGAGGAGGAGGAGGAGGAGGAGGAGGAGGAGGAAGAGGAGGAGGAGGAGGAGGAGGAGGAGGAGGAGGAGGCGGAGGAAGAGGAGGATGTGGGGGAGAGAGCGGGGGAGAAGGAGTGAGGGGGATGGGAAAGGGAGGAAGGGGGGAGAGGAGGAAGGAGACGGGAGGGTGGGACGAGGAGGAGAACGGAGCGAGAAGGGCGAGGCCAGATGAAGGAGATGGAGGGAGGGGGGGGTAACTGGCGAGGAGGTAGGAGGGTGGCGGGGAGGTGAAGGGAGCAGTAGCTACCAGTGAAGGGTGGAGGTAACTGGCGAGGAGGTAGAAAGGGAGAAGGGAGGCGGGGCAGAAGTATAGCAAGGGTGGAGGGAGAGGGAAGGCAGACGGGCAGCAGGGAGAAGGGAGGGAGGGAGGGAAGATTGAGAGAGAGAGAGAGAGAGCGATACAGAGAGAGATAGAGAGAGAAACAGAGAGACAGAGGGAGGAGGGAGAGAGGAGGGAGACGGGAAGGAGGCACCAGGGGGGTGGATACGGATGCTGATGAAAAGTACGGTAGAGAAGAGAAGAAGGCGAGAAGAGGATGGAGAAGAGAGAGAGTCAGAGAGGGGAGGAGGTAGGAAGCGGGGAAGGAAGCGGGGTAGGAAGCGGGGGTGGAAGGCTGGGAGAGGGGGGGCTCGGTGAAAGTGCGCGCCATGACCCCAATCGACGGACTTGCCCAAGGAGCGAACTCGACAGAGAGCAGCGGCCCAACCAAAACCGTCGTGGCTATTATCGCCGTGGCCGTCATCGTGTTCGTCGCGGCCTTAGCCGCGAAAGTCTTGATCGCGGCCATGGACTTTGTCGGTCGTCGTGCTCCGACGCGTTGGCATTGGCGCAGGCGCAATCCGTCCCTAGAGGTCCGCTGCATGATTGCTTTCAACACGGGCTCCCGACCGTCTCGACCTTGTCCCCACTGCTTACTTTGAAGAGGCCCTGGGACACACAAATAATGGGAAGAAACGATTAAAACACTTTTTGGGGCGGACGAATAAAAAAAATGTTTCGCGGGCCTCCTCGCCCCCGCAATAGCGGGGGGGCAGGGCAGGCAGACGGGGGGCTGACAATTCCGGGTTGCCTGGAAGGCCAGGGGGGGGGGGGCACGGGGTGGCGATCCAGGGCGCGAGGGCCAGAGGGGGTGGACGGGGTGGCGATCCAGGGCGAGCTCGTCCTCCTTTTGCTCCTCCGCCTCCTCCTCGTCCTCCTCCCCTCGTCCTCCTCCTCCTCCTCCTCCTCCTCCTCCTCCTCATCCTCTTCCTCCTCCTCCTCTTCCTTCTCCTCTCCTCCTCGTCCTCCCGGCTCGGCGGGCAAGGGGGGCGGGCGCCCCGCGGGCGCCCCCCCTCGAATTGCGCAACGGCGCGCGCGGAAAATAATTCTGGCGGAGAAAGGCAAAGCAGGCTGGCCGTCTGTGGCGACGAACGTGCCACGTCGTGCTCTGCCATGCTACGCTTTGATCTTGAACGCCATGCTATGCAATGTTATGTTCGGGGCCGCTGTGCGATGCCATGCTTTGCGTTGCAAAGATTTGTGATGCAATTCTGCACTACGCCACGCCATGCTGTGACATACTACGCTTTGCGGTGCTCTTCAACGCCCTGCCATGCCGTGCTCTACAATGCATCGCGTACCCTTTCGGGATCATTGCCCTGCTCGACATCCAACTGTGCGAGTAGAGAAGGGATCTACGCCATGCTAAGGGATGGGAGAGAAGGGTAGGCTGTCATATATGACGCGAGCGCACCGAGCTTGTCCTCCCCCTCCTCCTCTTCCTCCTCCTCTTCCTCCTCCTCCTCCTCATCCCCCACCTCCCAATCGCCGCGGCCGTCCGCAAGGCCGCTCGGCGGCCGTCCGCAAGGACGAGGGTGATCAAGCGTCTCTTCGAAAACCTCTTCCCTAATTACCCCGTCCCCTCTCCGCAATCCTCCCCCCGCGGCCGCGGGTGATCAAGCGAGCGAAGAGAACGAATAGAAAATCAGTTCCCTTAAAGGGGCAAAAGCAAACGCCGGGGGGCGGACGATTTAAAAAACAGTTTCCGGCGGCTCAATTCTATTAGTCCGCCCCACTCAATCATTTTGGGGGGTCCGGGGGGGGGGGGGAGGCGGTTTATCTTAATCGCTTCCTCCCATTAAATAGACGAACCTTACAGGATTCCCGATATGTCCTTCTATTTTCTGGATGTTCGTCTTCCCCCCCACTTCCCACATTCCCATGTTTTCCTGGGAATCGACGATGAATGGTGCCTGTGTGTCTTGTTCCCTCCTGACACTTGTCACCCTGAGCTGTGTTTGCAGGTCCTGGGGCCCGGCGAGCGTCCGGAGAGTCCGAGACCGGAGACACAGCCGCCAGCTTGTGCGGTGGCAGCTCCTGGGAGCCTCGCCTCCAATTGGCATCGTGCTGGCCCCTGCGGACCGATGCGGACAGACGCCGGTCGACGCGAATCCATGCCCATTCGACGCGCATCGGCGCTGCATCGACGCTTCTCTTTGCCAGCGACTACCATGCGCCAGCGCGCGCGAATGCACTCTGAAGACGGGCCTCCGAGGGCAGACAGTGCTCCCATGAGTTGCCGCCGAAGCACCGTGCGTTCCGGCCGCCTGCTGCCTGGCAGCCCGCCGTGCCAGCCTCCCCCCCCGGCCGCCGCCCCGCTGCTGCCGGCCCCCGCCCCCCGCGGCCCCCCCGACAAAACGACGCGAAGATCGGGACAGAATCGGATCGGGATGACTCGAAATCTCTGAGAATCGGTGGGCTTGGAGGATGCGTTGGGCGCCGCGGCCGCTCCAGGGCGTTCCGGAACGCTCTGAGAGCGCTCCGGAACGCTCTGGAGCGATGCATCCCGATCCTACACCCTGCGATACCCGCCGCCACCTGGCTTCGCTCGGAGCGGGCCCGGCCTCCGCCTCCCTTCCCCGCCGTCCCTCGCCGGGCGGCCCCTCCCCTCGCCCTCGAAGCATCTTGCGGCTTCACTCGCAGCTGTATGCCCTGCACGTGCCCTTCGGCCAGCGCAGTCGCTCTGCCTGGCCGCCGGCGTAGAAAAGTGCGTTCCCACCTGCTGGAGGTCTGGGCAGTTGTGGTCGGCGTGGGCGTCGTGGTCGTCGCCGTGGCCAGTCGCTGTCGTCGGGCTCCCCCGCGCAGGCGTGGCCGCGAGCGCGCGGAATCAGGGGGCTGCGGTGGTCGACAGGCAGCCGCCATCGTGGTTGGTGGTCGTCGCCTCCGCCGTCCCCGTTGTTACCGTCGGTCTTGCTCGCCGTCGCGGCCGCCGTCGTGGTCGTCGTGTTCGATGTCGAATGTCGCGCCACTCAACTTCCACGGCACGGCTCAAGGAAGGCGCCTGTAGCACCGGTGTCAAACAGGCACAGAGTATGAATGCCACTCGTGGAAGTCAGCGTGAACCCACCGCGCAGACAAGGCGCTGCTGCGGCTGAAGAACCGGCCTCTCCTACAGTGCCTGGAAAGATGGGGCCTGACCAATGCGTCCTGACGACGTTCGGCTGCATTGGAAGAGACACGGCAACGCTCGAACGCAGCAGACGGAATGGGAAAAGGGACGACAGGGGGCCGTCGAGGTCGTCGAACGCCGTCGTTGAACGTTGAATGTCAACGCCGCCGCTGTCGTCGTGGCCGCGGCCACGGTCGCCGTGGCCCAAGACCCCCGACGTCATGATCTTTTTCATGACGTCGACCTCAGAGGTCTCGATCCACTCCCCGGGGCCAGCTTTGCGTCCCGAGTCGTCTGTTGCTGGCCCCGAAGGCCCGCAGGGGCCCCCAGAGGCCGAGAATGGCCAACCCCCCTCCGCCATGCTGCTTCACGGCCAGAAGGGGGTCTGGAGGTGTCGTCGTTCGTCGGCTACACGCAAGAGTGACCCTACCCGGGGGACGAAAGGGTAGGATAGCAAAGGGTAGGGTTGAGAACCAGCGCACACAGCCGATTTTCCTGGCGCCTCCTGGCGCCGGCAGGCGCCCATGCATCGACGAACGGACCCGGCGGCGGGGCGGAGACCAGCTGCACGCAGCAGATTTCGTAACCCCCCCTTCTCCTGTCCTAGCCTTTCGCCTGGCCCGACCCTAGGCAAAAGTGACTTTTGGAGCGCGAACGAAAGGGCGCAAGGTGGCCCAATCCAAGCGCGAAAGCAGCCGCTACCGCATTGCGCTCAGCGATCGGGGGAACCGCGATGAGCCCGCACCGAAAGTCACTCCAGCGAAGGGTCACTCTTACCCGCCTGTCCCAAGCGGTAGATAGAAACATGAAGTAGGAAGGCAAATAAAGTAGCCTGGGTTCGGCCCCGCCCAGAGAAGGACAGAAGCCAGCAGATAGCAGATCGATTCTGGAGACAGGACGGCGCTTGTAACAGGTTTGAGTATCGTTTCACCGATCCCCATCCCCAGCGGCGTGGCCTGGGCCCCGCTTGCCTCTTGACCCCGCTGGATGGGGATCTAGGTCGTTCCCTTCGGGCTTCGACGGGTGTGTCCCCGACTGGGGGGGTAATCTGGTGGGGGTCTCTAAGGGGATTCGGCGGTGGACAAACCTCCCTCTAGTAGACCTCCCCTTAGCGCAAACGGCCTGGGGCCGAAACCGACGGACCTGGACCCGCAAAAATGACGGCCGCGACGCCCGCTCGCGAACCGAAAACGGCCAATTCCTTGATCGACGTGACAGGGTAGGAGGCCTGTCCACCCCCGATGGATGGGGATGGGAATACGGAACTGCTAAACGATACTGAAGGTTGGGATCTGGGAGTCAACAACGAAAACCTGCGGCCAACGACCGGCGCGCGCGTGCAATGCAACCGAGCTCAGTCCGCCGCCCGGCGCCGGGCGCCAGAGCCCGGCGCACGCCGCCGCACTCGAGCCGCCGAAGGCGCCGCCGTCGGGGCGCGTCCCTCTACCGAAATCGGGCACGTCCCCCTGCAGGGGGAGCTTGGGCGAACAATTACAAAATACCCCACAAATGCCCCCAAAAGGCAAAACAATACTCCAAAAATAGTCCCCAGACTGTTTTTGCACATTTGTTTGATTATTTTCGGGGTATTTTTCATTTGGTTGTCGAAAATCTCCCCGTAGGGGGACAAAAAATACCCCAAACATTCAAAGATAGTCAAAAAATACCCCCCGACTTTTTGTTGACAATCTTTGTGTACCCCTCCTGCAGGGGGCCCAGGCCCTCCTGTAGGGGGACGTGCGGCGCCCTGCAGCTTCCAGACGCGCGGCCCCCGGAGTCCAGAGGCTCTGAGGGCCCCCGGCCCCGACACCCTGAGATCCTGGCGTCCCATTTTTGCTCGAGCTCGTCGTTTTCGCCCGGCTTCGGGCCCCAGGATCCTCGCAGACCGATCCGGCTCGAAAACTGGCGCAGAAAGATAGGGGCCAGGGCTTCAGTCGAATGTGTTCGCGATGTCTCAATTTTTCGAGACGCCGGATCTCAGGAAAGGCCGAGAACGATGGAAAGCCTCCGCCTCGATGTTGTCGGGGCGCTGGACGTCTGGCAAAGATGGCAAAGATCGGCGGCGAGCGAGGGGGGGAAGTGAGAAGGCGAAGGCCTTCTCAGAAGGCGGCGAAACTTCTCAGAAGACCTCCCGCCCTCCGCTAGGCTCTCTGCGTCTTCGGGGAATGCTGCTCAGAAGGCCCGCCCCTGCCTGAGCCTGCTGAGAAGGCCACTGCTGAGGAGGCTGCTGAGGCTGCTGAGGCTGCTGCGGGGGGCCTCCGAGCCTGCTGAGAAGGCCCGCCCCTTCTCGCGTGCCCCCCGGGCTCGCCGCCCACCAACGTGTCCTGCGACGGGGTGGTGACGGGCGCCCACGAGTGCGGAAACCACGGCATGCCGGCCCGCGCGCGGGGGGGCGGCGGCGGGGAGCACCCCCCCGCGCGGAGCCAGGAGGGGAACGCCCAGGAGAGGCGGAGTCCAGACGGAGTAGGCACATACGGAGGCCGAGCACTCCGTGTGGACTTCCTCCGTGTGGGCGCGGCCCTGTTGTCAGGAGAGGCTATAGGACCCGACGGCAGGAGTCCACACGGAGACCGACCACGCCACCCACAGATCTTCGCCCAAAATACGAGACACCCTCACTGCAGGCCCAACCTGCTCCTGGACCTCAGGCCAGCCCGGAGAAGGCTGCTGCTGACGGGACGAGCTCCGAGCTGGCGAGCCAGCAGCTCGGCAAGATGCCACCTTGCGGCAGTTACAAGCAACTGGTGTGGCAGTCGACCCTCGCCAACTTCGTCGACGAGCTGGACAGGGCTTCATCGATCGATAGCATCAAAGAGATAACCAACAAATTCCAGACGAACAAGGCCCTGTCTCTGGGCTCGCCGCCGATGAAATCCACCCGTCGTGGTGCTTTGTACGACGCGGCCGCGTCCGGGGTCGGAGCCGCACGGCGGGGGGGCGGGGAGCCTTGGTCGGGGGTGCGCCGCCGGAGGGCGGCGCGACCTGCACAAAGGCGCCGAACTCCGCGAAGCTGGGCGCGGGGGGCGCGGGCCAGCCCCCCGTGGAGGCGGGGATGGGGGCCACTGCTCCTGCTCCTGCTCCTGCTCCTGCTCCTGCTCCTGCTCCTCCTCCTCCTCCTCCTCCTCCTCCTCCTCCTCCCCCTCCTCCCCGTCCTCCTCCTCCTCCCCCTCATCGTGTTCCTCCTCCTCCTCATCACCACCACCACCACCATCATCATCATCATCATCATCATCATCATCATCATCATCATCATCATCATCATCATCAGCATCATCATCATCATCATCACACCACACACCATCATCATCATCATATCATCATCATCACCACCACCACCACCACCACATCATATCATCATTACCACACGCATCATCCTCAGCATCATCATCATCATCATCGTATCAGCATATCATCATATCATCGTTCATCATCATCACCACCCTCAATCATCATCATTCATCAACACCATCAGCATCATCACCACCACCACCACCACCCACCACCATCATCATCATCATCATCATCATCATCATCATCATCATCATCATCAGAGCATCATCATAATCATCATTTCATCACATATCTATCATCATCACATCACCACCACACCACCACACCCCCATCATCATCATCATCATCATCATCATCATCATCATCATCATCATCATCATCATCAGCAGCAGCAGCAGCCAGCAGCAGCAGCTTAGCTTAGCAGCAGCTAGTGCATCTCATCATCATCTATCATGCATCATCATCATCATCATCATCATCATCATCATCATCATCATCATCATCATCCATCATCATCATCAAATCATCATCAATTCATCAATCATCATCATCATCATCATCATCATCATCATCATCATCAGCATCAGCATCAGCATCATCATCATCAGCATCATCATCATCATCACAACATCATCATCATCACACCACCACCACACCCATCATCATCATCATCAGCATCAGCATCATCAACATCAGCATCAGCATCAGCATCACCATCACCATCACCATCACCATCATCACCATCATCATCATCAGCATCATCATCACCACCACCACCATCATCATCATCATCATCATGATCATCATCGTCAGCATCAGCAGCATCATCAGCATCATCAGCATCATCATCATCATGAGCATCAGCATCATCAGAATCATCATCATCACCCCATCATCATCATCAGCATCATCATCAGCATCATCATCATCATCATTTGCATCATCATCATCATTATCCTCATCCTCGTCCTCCTCCTCCTCGTCTTCCTCTTCCTCCTCGTCCTCCTCATCCTCCTTCTCCTCCTCCTCCTTCTCCTCCTCCTAGTTCTCCTCTTCCTCCTCCGCCCCCTCCTTTTTAAAATAGTTGGGCAAACTTTGAGCAAAGCTCGAAGCGTCGTGTCCTCCTCCTCCTCCTCCTCCTCCTCCTCCGCCTCCTCCTCCTCCACCTTCTCCTCCTCCTCCTCCTCCTCCTCCTCCTCCTCCTCCTCCTGCTCCTCCAGTTCCCTCTGGCGCCAGCCCGGGTCAAGCAGCGGCTGCCGCTTGCGAAGCCGCCCTCGTGGCCGCAGGCTGGTGGCGCCGCGGTGCCCTGCAGCTGGGCGGCCAACGCGCCCTCGCCGCACGGCCGCCGAGCGCCGCGCCACGTCTGGGCGGGCGAAAGGCGCGGACTGCGCAGGCCCTGCGCCGCGCTCTCAACGCCTCGCAGCGTCGCGGCTGCCAGGGCGCCGAAGCTCGGTGCTCAGCGCTGGCCGGAGCTCTTCATGCGGATGGCTCTGGTCACGCTGCTGCGCCTCCTGGCCTTCACAGCTACGAGGGCAAGGACAAGGGCCAGGACAGCACCATCCTTGGCAGGCACGAGGGCATGGACAAGGCAGGCGCTGCTGACGGTCCTGCATATATCCTGCTGCTCAAGGGCCTCGTCCTGAACGTGATGCCATCGCTGGGCCTGATCAGGGTGCTGCCTCTCGTGGTCGCCCAGATCAGCCTGTCGTGCCTGGCCCCAGCGCGCGTGTGGCTGCTGCTGCTGATGGCTCGGCTTGGGGGGCGCCCGAGTGGGCCCCCGCAGCCTCTCACGCAAGGGGGGAAAGGGGGGGGGGGGCCGGGCGCTGGGGCACCGCGGCACTCGGCCTCGGCTCGGCCACCGCCCGGGCCACTACCTCTCTGCCAGGCCTGGCCCCGTCGGTGGCGACCCCTGTCGGGTCGGGCGAAAGGGGGGGGCAGCGAATTTCGTAACCAGCTGCATGCAGCAAATTTCGTAACCCCCCTTCTTGAGCAGGGACCGACCGTCCTGGCATTCCTATAGTCATACCACGAAATGCTCTTAGAACCCAAAAATTTCCTAAGAACGAAAATAATGTTCTTAGAACATAAACCCGATGTGGTAAACCAAGACGGTCCCAGCCAGAAATGTTCTAAGAACATTTCCTGGGAGCCACAAAAGGTTCTTAGAACATTGTTTGGTGGGGCTGTAGGCGAGCCAGGACGCTTCGCCACTGCTTGACCTTTCCCAGTTCCCCCCGTTCGTCCGGCCCGACCCTGGCCCATGGCCTCGGGCACACCGCAGAGCCGACGGGGACGCGTCGGGGGCGGGGCGAGACGGGACCCCCGACCCGGACTGTGACACATGCCGCCGCCTGCCTGCCGCCAATGCAAGTGTGTATATATACATATACATATATATATACACATATATATATAGGCCGGCGCACCCACCATGAACCCCCCTTTTCTCTTGGAAGATGCCAAGAAAAAAGGGGGGCGGCTGCGGTTGGAGTTTCGGGTGTCGCGTCGTGTTGTAGTGGTAGGATCTGGAGTACATGTGTGTGTGTTGGAGACGGAGGGAGCCTGTTGAGTATCGGGTGTTGTGTTGGAGAAGGAGGCTGTTGAGTACTGGGTGTTGTGTTGGAGACGGAGGGAGTTGAGTAGAAGGTTCTTTTCAAGTTCAGCTTGGGGAGGGAGCCTGTTGAGTATCGGGTGTTGTGTTGGAGACGGAGGCTGTTGAGTACTGGGTGTTGTGTTGGAGACGGAGGGAGTTGAGTAGAAGGGAGCTCAACAAGTTTTCCAAAAAAGAGCCTCAAAAGTGAGTCCGAAAATCGTAGGAATCATATATAAATTCATATATAATCATGAGAAAAGGGGGTTCTTGGTGCAGCTTGGGGAGGGAGCCTGTTGAGTAGCGGGTGTGGTGTTGGAGAAGGAGGCTGCTGAGTACTGGGTGTTGTGTTGGAGACGGAGGGAGTTGAGTAGAAGGTTCGTTTCAAGTTCAGCTTGGGGAGGGAGCCTGTTGAGTATCGGGTGTTGTGTTGGAGAAGGAGGCTGTTGAGTATTGGGTGTTGTGTTGGAGACGGAGGGAGTTGAGTAGAAGGTTCTTTCCAAGTTCAGCTTGGGGAGGGAGCCTGTTGAGTATCGGGTGTTGTGTTGGAGAAGGAGGCTGTTGAGTACTGGGTGTTGTGTTGGCGACGGAGGGAGTTGAGTAGAAGGTTGTTTTCAAGTTCAGCTTGGGGAGGGAGCCTGTTGAGTATCGGGTGTTGTGTTGGAGAAGGAGGCTGTTGAGTAATTGGTGTTGTGTTGGAGACGGAGGGAGTTGAGTAGAAGGGAGCTCAACAAGTCTTCCAAAAAAGAGCCTCAAAAGTGAGTCCGAAAATCGTAGGAATCATATTTAAAATCATATATAATCATGAGAAAGGGGGGTTATTGGTGGGTGCGCAGGGCTATATATATATATATATATATACACAAGTGGCACGTGTGTGCCCAGGCTCATACAACAAGCTGAAGGGGCGTTTGAAGCAGGAGTGACATGCAACAGCGAAGTCGCACTCGAGCGCAAGTGGGGTTGCCACACCTTGCGATGTGTGTACCAGGGCCCCCCAGGAAGCCTCAGGAGGCCCGACTTGGATACCAGAAGAGGCTCCAGGAGGCCCCAGGATTGTGAGTGTTGTGTGTGTGTGTGATGTGTGCTTTGTGTGGTGCGTGCTTTTTGTGTGTTGTCGGTGTTGTGTGTGTATGTTATGTTTGTCTAGCGCGTGATGTGTTGGGCGTGATTTGTGTCTCTGTGTGTGCATGTAGTTCTGAAGCCCCAGGAGGCCCCAGGAGGCCCCAGGTGGCCTCAGCAGGCCCAGGAGAACTCCAGGAGGCTCCGAGGCGGGGTCTGGGGTACCAGAAGGTCCAGAAAGCCCCAGGAGGCCCCAGGAGGTTCCAGGAGGCCCCCAGGAGGCTCCGAGGAGGGGTCTGGGGCTCGATTTTGAAAGGATTTTTCATGCGAAACCGCCATTCTCTGAGAATCGGGGTCAAAATCATTGAAATTACCATGTGTTTTTGAAGGTGTTATGTTAAAATGTTGAAATTCCCGTGTGTTTTTGGACCCTGACGTCACGATCTGCGTGAGGGGTGCCACCGATTTTCAGAATTTCGAGGATGTCCCGAGCGAAACGGCCAGAAAAATCGCGGACCCGTGCGCATTAATCGCCTCTGAGCTCTACTCCCTCGGAGAGGTGCGTATGAGAATATATATATATATATATACGCCACGCTGGACCCGGGCAGGCTGTGCTGCCCGGCGGACGGGGGCGAGGAGGGGAGAAGCAGGCAGACGACGACGAAAGCCCAGGCGGGAGGCCGGGGCAGGCGGGGCGGGCGGGCAGGCAGAAGAGGGGCCAGCCGGGGACAGCAGGCAGGGAGCAGGAGGAAAGGAAAGGAAGGGAAGCAGCGAGCAAGAAGGTCCTGACTTGTTCCACCGCGCCGACCCCCAGAGAGGTCTCGACCCCTTCCCCAGGATCGGCTTTTCATCCTGAGTCGTTTGTTGACGGTCAAAGGAAGGGAAGCAGCGAGCAAGAAGGTCCTGACTTGTTTCACAGCGCCGACCCCCAGAGAGGCCTCGACCCCTTCCCCGGGATCGGCTTTTCATCGCATCGTCGCATCGCCGGCGGCACGAGAGCTGTCTGAAGCATCACGGGGCGCCTTCACACCTCGTGGCAAGCATCTGGACGCCTGCTGTCGAAAGCTGTGGCCGAAAAAAGTTTGTTTCATCCTGAGTCGTTTGTTGACGGTCCCCAGGCCCGGTGAGCGCCCCCCAGAGGCCGAAAATAGACAAACACCTCGGCCGTCGGGTTTTTGTCCACAGCGCGAGGGGGTCGGGGCGTTCCACTGCCACCGGCCATGGCAGGACCCGGTCCTGGTCCCTGGCCTCGTGTCTAGACTTCTGTTGCTCCCATCGTACTTAAGGGCCACATCCCAGACATAATTTCGAGCACCCAGGAAAGTGTCGAAAGAGTGTCGAAACAACGTCGGACGAATGTCTCCCAGGGCCCGACACGTGAAAACCCTGCTCGAAATTCTTTCTGGTGATCGAAGCTGAAGCAGGTTGGAACATCAAAAGTCTAGACCCTCCAGGCATGGGCCAGGAGGGCGCCCCTCTGGCGCCAGGCTGGGCCAGGGCCAGGGCCGGAGACGTGTGGCTGTGGGCTTCCAATGGCTGGCCCGCCTCAACATTCGATCCTCCCTGACTCCCTCCCTCCTTTGCTTCTCCCTCCTCTCGTCCTGGGTTCCTCGTCTACTCCCTTCCCGTCCTTCCCTCTTCCCTCTCCACCTTCCGTCCATCCCCACGCACGACTCCTTCTCACTCCTGCCTCCAGGGAGGCAGGGAGGAGGGTGGGGGGAGGCAGGGAGGGGGCTCGACGTGGATGGCATGGTCGTGCCTGGAAGCTGCCAGCTTCCAAAGCGATGAGAAGGGGACTGCACCAAGCTTCAGCTTGTCCAAATGGCGGAGAGGGAGAATCTCGAGGAGGAGGAGGAGGAGAAGGAGGACGAGGAGGCGAGCCCGGGCCGGAGGGCGTCGAGGACGACCGAGGAGGACGGGAGGAGGAGGAGGAGGAGGAGGAGGAGGAGGAGAAGGAAGAAAAGAAGGAAGGAAGGAAGGAAGGAAGGAAGGAAGGAAGGAAGGAAGGAAGGAAGGAAGGAAGGAGGAGGAGGAGGAGGAGGAGGGGAGGGGAGGGAGGGAGGCGGGGAGGAGGCGCGGGAAGGGGTCGCCGAGAGGACTGCGAGGACGCCGAAAGACGAGGAGACCACAAACGGGGGCAGGCGGCGAGGCGTGGCCCAGGGGTGGGCCGGGCAGCAGTGGCGCGCCAGTCCTGAGCACGGTGCCCTCGAGCCACTGGGAGGCATCGACCCCGACGAAGCCGGACACGTCGTTGGACGCGGCCTGCCCGCCCCCCTCTCTGGCCATCGCTCGGGCGTCCATTGCCTGTGTTTTTTCGGTGTCGTGCGTGGCTTCTTCGGCAAATGATCAAGGATGCTCCTCGATGGTCCTCGCCGAAGAAAAAACACACACGTCCGAGCGATGCCAGGCCTCTCCTGGGCCCCTGGAGGCACCTCCCCCAGTGGATACTGCAATGGGTGCGGCTTGCGAAGGGTGCGGTGTGCCTCCCGTCATAGCTGCCCCATCCCGCCCCCGGGAAACGGATGGCACTGTCACTCAACGCGACCGGATCATATGACACTGCCGCTCCTTCTAGTACAGTGGAGCACGATTCGAGGATGACAGTGTCGCTCGAAACGACGACAGTGATGACATTGTCTCTCACAAAAGCCCCGGAAAGGCCGCCACAAAGCAACTCGCAATCCACACCCCGGCGAAACCGCACCGACTGTACTGTACCCAAACAAGCACAACAGCCTATCGGTTTGGGCGATCAGGGCGAAGACCCTGCCACGAACCCGGCACTCTCAATGATAATGGCAAGATTGTTGTGGACGTGTCCCGCAGTTGTTTTTGTTGCCGTCAGAACACAAATTCAATGCACATGTTTTGCCCGAAGCTCGGGATCCACCAGAGAGGGGTGAACCTGAGGGGGGGCACGAGTTCAATCCGCTGGTGCACCGAACTGCCGCAGACAGGTGCCCCCCGCATGCCCCACCTATCGGCGACTATCGGGAGCTGCCAGCGGCTGGGTAGCATCTGTTTGGGGCGGCTCGGTGCAAAAACCTATCGAACTCACACACACACACACACACCAACACACTAACACACAAACACACACACACACACACACACACACACACACACACACGGGGGGGGGCACACACACACACACACACGTTGCGGTATCCCGAGAACGGTGGACAACTCTCACTGCACCGACCTTGCAGGCGTGCTGCAGCGGATTTCTGTGTGGACTCCTGTCGGCGCAAAACCTGCAAACGGCGAGGGAAACACAGGGTGTGAACTTCACGTGAATGTGTTTGGTCTTCATTCCTGGCCAAACAAAAACGCACGAAATTGACATCGAAATCCGAAACGAAATTCTCCAGGACAGTCCTCGCCCATCCCGCTGTTTTCCGAACGGAGTCCGCGCTGCGATGGTGGCGCCATGACAGCTCGTCTGCAAGAGCGTTCTGACACCCGCAGTGAGGGATGCCCGGCCCTCGGAAGAAGCGAGGGCCCAGCGCGGCCCCCGAGTAGCCTCACGCATTCAAGATCGATGGCCTCCATATGCGGCCCCGCGCATCGCGAACCGATTACAGTCGGACCTACAGTGGAGACCCAATGCCAAGAAACACCCTGCTTGCCTTCAGGGTGCCCTCGGTTTCTTTGGGTTCGGTGGTTTTGCTATGGAAAGCTTCCCACAGCAAAAATCGATGGACGCCCTGGGGTCTCAGGGTTGGATTTCTTGTGAACGGTTTCTTGTGGTCGAGCTCCTACTGTAGAAGAGCATCCTTCAAGAACATGGGACCCTGCGTTGCCCACCGCCCCAAACAAAAAAAAAACATCCAAGGGCACCCTCCCCAGGAGGCATCATAATATCCAGCAAGCACGAAGAGCATTACGGGCACACTCCCCGAACCGACCTCGATCTCACACTTCGTTTCGTGTTGCGGATCCCCGGTTGTCGGGTGCCTGGGTGGTCTGCATGACCCAGAGATGCAGCGCACCGAAAAAAAAACGCAAGGATGTTTGTTAGTCGTTTTCGGCCTCTGGGGGCCCTCGCCGGGATGCGACGCTGGTCCTGGGGATTGGGTCGAGCTCGCCATCGCTCGGACGTCCATTCCCTGTGTTTTTTTCGGTTTCGTGCGTGGTTCTGTCGCCAAATGATCCAGGATGCTCCTCGATGGTTCTCGCCGAGAAAAAATGCACACGTCCGAGCGATGCCAGGCGAGACTTCCGGGGACCCCGTGCTGAAAAAATCGAGGCATCGGATCTGCAGGGAGCTGCGCCTCGTGAAGAGCCGTCCGGGGAGGTCGGGGTCGTCCCTAGCCACTGGGAGGCGTCGATCCTGGCGGGACATGTTGGCTTTTCTTGGACATCCCAACGTATGTTCGAACGGTCTTCTCGCAAGTACGCAGGCCAGACAGATCGAGGCGGTGGAAGGGAGAAGAAGGCATGGCACATTCTCACGGGGCCGTGCATGGATCAGCCGTCCTCCGGGCATTGGCTCATGCTGCAGGCGCCATGAGCTTTTTGTTCAGCGCTTCCACTTTGGGGCTCCCGACAGGCTGGCGCGAACACTCAAAAAACAAAACCGCCCACAGCCAAGCCGCTACAAGAAGGACCGCTCTCTGGCCATCGCTCGGACGTCCATTCCCCGTGCTTTTGTTCTGGTTTCGCGCGTGGTTTTTTCGCCAAAGAGTCAAGGATGCTCCTCGATGGTCCTCGCCGAAGGAAAAATGCACACGTCCGAGCGATGCCAAGCTCTGGGCCGAAGTCTCTCGGCCGGGGAGCCCGCCCGTGGCCGAGGCTCGCCAAAGAGCCAGAGAAGAACACTCCTTTAGTAAAACGTGGTTTAGTGAAAACGACCTGAGGCCCAAACCTGGCGGGCGCAGGCCTGGAAAATAAAGGCCGCGGCGCCCTCTCGAGAACCGAAAACGGACAATTCACTAATCGGCGTGTCACTGTTATGGGTTCTGTCCGCCCCCGGGCGCTGTATGGTAACACGACTGTCGACTTTCGCAGTTGCCAGCGTGTCGTCTTTTCGTCTCAGGGCACTGGCGGGGGCGGGAAACCGATCTCCGCGCGCAGGGCTGCACACGTTCCCCCCGAGCGGCGCCTGCACCCCGAACTTCTCGCCTGTCTTGCAACACGCACTGGATGGGCGCATCGGGTGTTCACAACGACGCGCCCTGCTGCCGCCCGTGCCGCCCCGTGGGCGCCTCTTGGGCGTCCCGCGCTTGGAGGGCACGTCGAGGTGGCGCCACGCTGCACCCCTCCTCCTCCCCCTTCTCCTCCCTCTCCTCCTCCTCCTCCTCTTCCTCCTCCTGCTCCTGCTCCTCCTCCTCCTCCTCCTCCTGCTCCTCCTCCTGCTCCTCCTCCTGCTCATCCGCATGCACCTCCTCCTCCTGCTCCTGGTCCTGCTCCTGCTCCTGCTCCTGCTCCTGCTCCTGCTCCTGCTCCTTCTCCTGCTCCTCCTCCTCCTCCTGGT